CAGTTCCAAGCGCACTAATTGGCTCGCTCAGTTGAATGACCCCCACCAACGGCATGAGCGCCCTGATCGCTGTAACAACCCTATGCTAGTTCCTTCACAACTCTTCCTCTGAAACTTCCTTAGCATCACCACTGTCCTTAAATCTCCATGCGTTGCAATGTAATTCGAATCGCAGAACCTTGCGGATTTTATCCGTGATCTGCACACGCTTGATCTGTTGAATTCCTCTGCAAAAGCCCGCGAAGATCCGTCTCATCCGAATCGCCGCGGGTTTACGGACTACTTGAACTTTCTTCCATGGTCCTGCCACGAATGGCGGAGGGCACAGACAGTTAGAGAACGGCGCCTGGCTCGGCTCCAAATCCCAGGAAGGAGGTGAGAGCCCTAGGACTAAGCCTTGTAGGAGGGAGGGACTTCGAGGTGGGTGAGCCAACTACAGTGTGGCAAAAGTTTGAATGTGTGAGATCACAGTGGTCATGAGCCGCTGATAAGGTGAGAGAGCGCAGACGAGAGATGGATCTGAGGCGGCTTAAAGGACCGGGTTCAAGTAGTCCGTCAACCATCGCCGCGCAGCCCGCCGCGCAATTTGCCGCGTGCCAGCTCGGACGAGCCAAAAGTTCGTCGCCCTTTGCGAAGTGCAATAGATTATCAATGGCAATCAGGGGCTTGCGACCCATCCTTTATAACGAGCACAGAAGGAAGAAAAAAATTGCGTTACTATAGTCAAAAAGAAATTGATAAACTAGAAGATTATTACTCGACTTAATTACCCCACTAACTGTCAGGAGTGTAAAGGGCAGGGACGCTTTCATTCGTTACTCGCGTAACTTTTGGCTACACCATTATGGAGGAATATTTTACTATTTCATTGCATCTGATTTAAAGGCAAACTCCCGGGATTGAACTGGTGCTAAGAGCGCTTCGTAGTGATAGCTTAGCTGCGGAACGACCTGAAAGTGGAAGGAAAGCAAGAGAATCTTTGGGAACGCTGAAATTAAGGCCTTAACCTTCAAGTAAGGATGTGGTACGATGGCGAGACAGGGCGGTCAAAGAAGACAAAATACGCGAGAGAGCACGTCGTTTGAGAGAGCACGCTGATCTCTACATCAATGCACGCTGATCTCACCACCTCTCGCGGTGGGTGGGAAGCGTTGGAACTGGGTCGATGGTTGCCGGCCCGTAAGGATTAGCGCCCTAACGCAATTTTTGCGATGGAGATGAAGTGGCCTGGATAGGCATTTCCCCCACGGTATCCTTCCCACAAGTCGGGTTAATCTCGGGGTCGCCTCTAAGCGCTCAAACATTTTGTCTCTACTCTCTACATTCTGGAGATTAAATTGATCTTCTACCTAGTGAAGGGTCACTTAGTGTGGGCCGCCTCGCTACGCGTTTCATTCTATGTGTCCTCTTGGCGCCGCCCTGGTGTGTGTGGTGTGTGTCTTTGTCCTCAAAGTTTGTCTTTTGGGAGCTAGTTTTTCAAAGGTAACCATATTCCGTGATGACCATAGATAACGCATTTATGCCAAAAAAGGGGGCAACACGTTCCAATTAACGGTTCCTTTAAACTTCTATACAGGTTTGGTATGCAAAGGCAATGCTCGAATGGCGGACATAAAGAGTACATGGAGAAGTACTGGATAATTATCGAAGTTGTTGGTAGTTTCCAATGGTACCGTAGTTGGCACATCAACAAAACGAGAATAGCCTAACCAGGACGAGGAACCCGCTCTTAACATTAAAACTTTCAATTGCTTTTTTCTGATGTGATAGTGAATTAGAAGTGGCCAAAATGGAGGTTAAGTAGCCGTATTCGTAACAGCTAAGCAACGATACTAATGACACGCCCCAGAAAGAGTCCGAACGTTTGTTGGTAGAGCCTCGTAGTTAATGATCGGGACATTCTTACTGTTTTCGTCTTGCCTTGGCAGCATTCGTTCTTGAATAATTACTGCCTAGAAATGGGCAAGATTAGGTCTCAAGAAAAGAGTTGAAGTATGAACAGCGAAAGGTTCCTGTTTGCATAGGCGTCCGTTAATGGCTGGCAACCACGACATCTAGGCGCCGTTACCCTGACCAGGAGATTTTCTCGGAGAAGACCTTTACAGGACCGGAACGGAACATGCGTTGCTCTCGAAAGTCACAAAAATGTTAGACATGAGGTATTCCGCTTGTTCTGGTTGGCCCAGCTCTTTTAAGCTTACGACTAGAAAATTCGCACCCATGCCGAGTATGTTTGGTGTTTGTGGACCGGCCGAAGAGTTTTGTGCGTTATCAGCGTGGGACCCTAAACTGGCTTGTTTTCTGTTAGGTACCAGGAAGAAAAATGTTTGTTTGATATACACTCAGCCGACCTGCTGGCGATTGACCCTGCTGGCGATTGGGAAGGATGCTCCATCGGACAATTTGGAAAAGGTCGGAGAGCCGACTCCATTGCACAAGGCTGCTTCATTGTAAACTTTGCTGAACTTCGCGAAGATACCTCCAACCCAAAGTCTCGCTCATCTCTTCGCACCAGAAAAAAGCGCTTCACTTTCTTTTCGGTTGGTCCGCCTTTCTCAATCGTTCTGCCACCTTCTTTCACCATGTCTTGTCAATGTGACCTGGCTCTAGCGTCAATTGGAATTTCCGTTGACTATCAAAAAGTAAAATAGACAGAAATGGCGCTTCATTATTTAGCAGCGATACCTGTAGCAGGGCCACTGAAGCAATAGGAAATCGCGGCGCCGGATGTAGTGGGCGGAAGGTATATGAAATCGAGATTTCCCTGGATGTTGTTCCTGACGCACTTTCTTTGAGGTACCAGTCGGTCGCGTAAATAAGTTCAATTCTTACGTTAAAATTGAACTTAATAGAGACACTATGAGACATTTAAGGGTTTTCTGGAACAGCATTCGAGGAGATTCGCCGAGATTTGTGTTACGCGAGCATCAAGGCATCCTGAAATACAGCCGAGCTTACAATAATCTATGTCAAGGTGAATCTCCAAATCATCATTACTTTTTAAATCTTTATTTCACTTTTTTATTTCAGTTCTTCTTAGTGTTAGTGACTGACCAGCAAGGCATTGGCTTTTAGTTGGCAGTGCGCACATGGTACCTTTGCCACCTCCCAGTCAGAGTTTTGGCAAGCTGCGATAAGAAATCTATGAATTAGGAATTTGTGCTGATGGTTTAAGAAAGACGACTTATGTATAGCGCATGCGAGGTGATTCTTCTTCTTGGGGTACCGGTGTATTCTATTCATTGAATAACGAGATAGAGCATTTGAATGCGGATCTGGGCTATAATATGTGGCGAACTTTACGGTGGAGCCAAATTCAAGAGTCATCTGTTTTAACGCCTCCTAAGTAACTGTTTGGTACTCAGTCCGGGTACAACTGCTGCCGTTTGAGTAAAGCATCAACGTGGGTAAGAATTGTTTTTGTTTTTCCCTCTGGCGTTTGTCAAGGAGGTCGGATGGATGCAGAGGCTATTTGCTAGAGGACGGGGTGTGTTATGGCCTCGAAGGTTTTCACACGAAAATGCTAATTGAATGGGTTGTAACTGAAACTTTGCCATCTCGTTAGTTTATTGCGCTGCCTGTCATCAAATGATGATCCACCGCCGCTGTTTCCCAAAGCCTTCAATCTGAAGTTGGTCTTTTATAGGAAAAAGGTCTAAAAAGAAAATTGAACATAAAAAAAAAACGTATTAGTTTTCACAAACTGTTAATATCTCGAACGACCCGGCAAAAAATTTTATAATGCATTCTTGTTTGAAAAAAAACTTGCTCTGCCCACTTCACCAGATCATATTGGGTTGTCCGGGAAGTTTCCGCCGTTTGCAACTCATTTCTGAATGCTTCATCTCCTAGACTCTTTCAGGAAATCTACTGACACTTTATTTACACATTCGGAAAGCGCGTTCCTCTCTCTTATCAAAAATCTATATGTCTTTTCAACCCTGAATCACTTTTCCAATTTTTTTTTGAAGTCTTGAATACACTCAACAGCCTGCTTTGCACTAGTTTCTTGTTTCCCCTCAAACTTGCTCGGAAATGTGCGGAAGCAAGTTGCGATATCAACTGAGCATTTGGTTCTAAGTCCACAAAAATACGCTGTGCAGTCGTAATTCAAAATGTCTTTCTTGCACAAAGCTTCGAAGGAGATTAGTGATATAGACTGATAAAGATCAGCTGAGGGTTTTGACCAAACCAAATCTGCATGAAACTGTTGAACAGGCTGCTTTTGAATTGGGCGTAACCGACATAAGATTTCCAAACATAGCGGTGAGGGTAAAAAGCCCAAAGAAGTCGAAAATTGGGTGCCGCCGGCTCTTCTACCCACTGTTGCACAACCCCATCTCGGACTTCCAAGTTGAACTACTAGCTGAGCTATGAAATTGTGCTGCAAACATTTCACACACTAGACCTATTGCCTGCCAACTATCACTTTTCCAACCATCTGGAAGGTCTACTTATAGAGATTGAGCATTGAAACCCAACATGGTGGTGAAACGACCTTCGCCGAGTTCTTAGCTCACAGAACTCCAGCACTTCCAACATCCGGATCAAGTAAACTCATTTCTTGTAGGCAAAAGTATGGGGATTGTAATAGTTTTATTTCGAGCAAAGTCGCTTCGTTTAAACTGAGATACATATGCGCTTTTGAATTTGAGAGTTAAAATCGGCAGGTACTTTCCGGACAACCCCCACCCCATGTTTTTTTCCGCTGCATTTCAATTTGTCCTCGAGAGTATTTTGAGTCAAACATTAGCGACTCTATTTGTTATGAATTACTCTCCCCATTTTAGTCAAATCCTTGAGATCTAGACGTACTGTAACGGTTAGGTTACAATCTGTATGAAGAATAGTATCTTCTACTTATAATTGTTAGTTTTTGAGATCTCTTGAGCAGGAAGGAACTGATGGACTATTTACGAGCTGAGAAATTTGATGCGTATTTTGGTGAACAAATCAATTTTTGTGGAAACGGACTGGCTCATGTGCTGGGGATCAAATCTCATTTTTGGGTGTCCAGGTGAGTGGTGGGAAATTTCTAGAATGGAGAAAGTAATGTTTAGACTTCAGTTGCCCAATCAGCGATTACATGGCTTGGGTGCTGGGAATTCCTCAGCCCTCGTCATATATTCCGTCATTGATGGGTATGGATATCACACATAGGCCGAGTTATTTGGAAAGGGTACAAAATGTTTGGTCGACGTTTCTTTACGTTTACTACACCCGGAAAAGTACTCTTGAAGCTACTGAGATGTTCCGTCGACGATACGGGTAAGCGCATGTGAAAACCGACTGCCGTAGAAATGAACTCCTTGTGGATTCCAGTGCCGACTTTCCAAGTTTGGAAGAAATCGCTGCTGACTCCGATGTGGTGTTCGTGTCTACGGACGAGTTTGTTGATTTACCTCGTCCCACGCTTCCTCATATAGTCCACATGGAGGACTGGGAGTGGGGGACGCTTTGAAGAATGGAGGCTTAGATGAGGTAACTTAGTCTGCGTACA